CAGAACCTGGGAGCATTTCCTTTCATTGTACATGCGGTTGCCATGAGTTGGGAAGCACCCCAAGGGTTGTGAACAGCAACAGTTTGATCAAATGCCCTGCTCCTGGTTTATTAAGTCTTTCCTTCTGTACTCTGGTTTTGGACAGTGTAAGACATGACAAAATAATAATTTATGAATTATCAAGGGTTCATGAGTGAGGGGAGCGGGGAGGGAGGGGAAATATGAGGAGCTGATACCAAGGGCTCAAGTAGAAAGCAGATGTTTTGAGAATGATGGCGGCAACAAATGTAAAAATGTGCTTGACACAATAAAATGATTTTTTAAAACGTCCTTCAAAGTAAAATAAAAGTGCTATGAGAAAGGGGAGAGCTGAAAGATTGATAACACCCCCCAAAAGACTGACCTGATCAAAGTAGTTAATACCATAATGCAGGGTGGAGGCTGAGGCACAGAGGGCGATAACGTGTGTGTGTGTGTGTGTGTGTGTGTGTGTGTGTGTGTGTGTTTTTGAAGGGAAGATTTACTGAAGATTGCCAATGTCTTGGAGGTTTACAGAGGACTTATGTCAGCACCTTGGGCTCATGTGGTCTATAGAGGACTCGAAGGAGGAACCCGACCCCCGAGGAGGTATTAAAACGGGGTGAGGAGACTCCTCTCACTTGAGGAGGGTGTTTCCCCATGTCTTTCTTGCCATTCGAGTTGTTGCCTCTCTCTGGGATGAAGCCTCATCATGCTCCCAAGGAAAGTATCACAGAGAAAAGCAATGCTGCTCAGGTGATCATTTTAAGAAACTGAAGTAAGAGCCCTAGGCCCCGTACTGCTCTTAATGGGGAGTCCATCCCAGTGTCTGCTCTGCCGCGTCCATTCTGCTCATGCAGCCTCAGGGGGAGCCTCCACCCTTTCAGAGTTAAGCAGCCAGCCCCCTCACCCTGTGCATAGTAGGCTGCATCCTCCACAAGGTGAGCCTGGTTTCAAAAGTGGCCTGCAATTTAAAAGGCCCTTTGCCTCCTTCTCCTGAGGGTGTCTCTGTCCCCTTCACAGAGCCCACAGGTTATTCTTTCAGAAGAAAAATAAGTAGGCAGATGAAAATAAACAACAAAGAACAAAAGCAACGACAAACACATAAGCAAAAACCTTCTTTCAGCCCTCTTGCCCTCACGAGGGCTCAGGAGGCTGTCAGTGACCCATCCTTCTTTCCCTTAATTGAAGGGTTTTTGGAATACTTGATACAGCCAGTTTCATCCTTGATTCCCTCACTGTTTTCACCTGGTTGCTTTATGCAGAGAAGCCCTTTCTAGATCATTTCCTTGAATGGTTCCCCTTCATCTCAACTGTTGCTGTAGTCTTTGTCACTGTTTGTATCTTCTCATAATGCGACTCCCTAAAAACCACCTCTATCCCTGGTAAATTTTAATTCAGGGCCAGCATGTTCCAGTTTCATCTTTAATAATGTCTTCCCCCAAAAAAACATGTTTTGGGGGGCAATCTTTTGAATTTTAGATTTTTCTTCAGTGGACCAAGCATTAATAGCTATTTGATGGTTGTTTGATTTTTCGGTTAGCCTTCAAATTTTGGTAACTACTCTGTTTGGATACATACTCATTTGTCAAATGACTTATTGAATATCTACTGTGTATTAGAAATCGTCGTAAAAAATACCAAATTTCATCAAAAGTTATCTGATTTAAGAACAAAGATAAATAAAACAGAGTGACTCAAATAGAAGAGATGGATGAATTTGCTAACAAGAGCTCCCTGAATTTCTACCACTGTTTCTAAAACTTCTGGTATTATGAATTAAATTGTTTCCCACCCTTAAGGTGTGTTGCCAAGGGAGGACTAAGTGATCCAAAATTGGTGGCAAGGAGGGTGTGTGAGGCCTGGTAGAGATTCAGCAAGGGCAATGCAACCAAGAGAAATTACAGAAACCCAAATGACGGCTGAGCATGATAGTGGGACAAGAGGAAAGTAAATGGAAATAGAGAAAAGAACTATGAGGCAAAGGGAATTTATAGAGGACTAAATATAGGCATCCACATATGTAAATATATTTATATAGGATGGTGGGGAAATAGAGCTACATGCATATATTTATAGGTTTAGAATCAAGGCAGAAGATGGACATTGGACCTCCACTCAAGTACTTACTCAATGCAAGAACACTTTTTTCTATCAAATTGGCATTCCATGATGCACACCTTTCTGACATGATCGCTGAATACAAACATGTGTGTAAGAAAATGTGGCGAAGAAAGCTGATTGTGCCCAGCTATCAAAAGATATAGCATTTGGAGTCTTAAAGGCTTGCAGGTAAACGAGCAGCCATCTAGCTCAGAAGCAACAAAGCCCACATGGAGGAGGAAACACACCAGCCTGCGTGAACACGAGGTATCAAAGGATCAGGTACCCGGCATCAAAGAACAAAAATCATATCATTGTAAATGAGAATGAGTGCAGAGTGGAGACCCAAAGTCCATCTGTAGGCAACTGGACAGCCCCTTACAGAAAGGTCATGGGGAGGAGACGAGCCAGTCAGTGTGCAGGGTAGCAGCGATGAAAGATACAACTTTCCACTAGTTCTTAAATGCTTCCTCCCTCCACTATCATAATCCCAATTCTACCTTACACATCTGGCTAGACCAGAGGATGTACATTGGTACAGATAGAAACTGGAAACAGGGAATCCAGGACAGATGATCCCTTCAGGACCAGTGGTGAGAGTGGCCATACCAGGAGGGTGTAGGGAATCTGGGGTACAAAGGGGGAACTGATTAAAAGGATCTACATATAACCTTCTCCCTGGGGGATGGGCAACAGAAAAGTAGGTTAAGGGAGATGTCGGACAATGTAAGATATGAAAAAATAATAATAATTTATAAATTATCAAGGGTTCATGAGAGAGGGGGAAGCGGGGAGGGAGGGGGAAAATGAGGAGCTGATACCAAAGACTCAAGTTGAAAGCAAATGTTTTGAGAATGATGATGGCAACAAATGTACAAATGTGCTTGAGACAATGGATGTATGTATGGATTGTGATAATTGCTGTATGAGCTCCCAAGAAAATTATTTGGAAAAAAAAAGACGTGCTGCAATCATAATTCCTCTATATGTAGATGTAATCCAGTTTCAGAATATGGTTTTCTGTGTTTTGTTAGTGAGGTCATACCAGTGTAGGGTGGGTCCTGAACCTAATCATTTATGAAAGTAGAACAGACAGAGAACAACGTATATGCATAGGTGAGAGAGAAAACACATGAAGATATCTATAACCCAAGGCATCAAGGAATGCTGTTCAAGGACTGCTACCAGTAAGGAATGAGTGAATAAGACCAAGCATGTTTTGAACCTCTGGCCTCCAGAACTGTAGGAAAATAAATTTCTGTGCTTCCAAAGTCCTGGTAAAATTAGGTAAATAAGACTAAACAATTTTCTCCAGGTTTGCATTTCTAAACCAGAAGGAAGTCTCTGGATTTATTGGAGGAAATCGGGAGCAGGACAGAGACTAGAACATATTTTCCTGGACTTCATTTACAAGGCTGTGCTAAGGAGCACAAATGATCTATATGGATAGAGAGCCTCTGACTAAAAGTATTTCACATATTCTTTTAGAAAAATAAAGCTTGCTTCTGTCTGAAGACAATTCAGAAGACTGCCAGTTGAAGTAGAGGGGGATAGAGGGAAGATAGAGGACAGGACTTTGTGTGGCAGAACGCCCCATTTCCCTACCCCGAGTAATCCTTATCCACTCAACCAGGCTGTCATTTCTGCCTCTGTGCCCTCCAGAGCAAATTCAGTCAGCACAGTGACATTTTAATAATAATACTTTGTACTTATACAGCACCTGTCAGCCAATGATCTCAAAGTACTTCCCCTGAGATTAACTCATTCATCCTCACAAGGATAAGTGACTTTCCCAAGGTCATAGAACACTGAATGTCATGGGAGAGGGTGAGTCTGATCTTCCACTGCTCACATCCCACCTGTGAATGCTATCCACCTGCCTTCCCCCTAGAGATGCACTGCTGACATCGACCGAACCCACAAACCCACAATGAGTCTGAAAACTTGTGCTTCGGCCTCCCACACAAATCTCTTCTGGTCAATCAGTTCAGTCCCCAGACACCTCTGTTTCGTTACCCCACTCCAATCACCGGCAAAGCAAACGTTTCAAGGATGGGGCAAGAATGATGGACCTGGCCTCTTGACTGCAGGGATGTCCTGGGTTTGTTGCGTGGGTGTGGCTGTGGGGGGTGGTACAGCTGGAACTCAATCTGCTTAGCAAGGTTTTTGTGAGCAGGTGGAGTAAGAGCTTGGCTAAATACTCAAAGACAGCCGCATCCTCTGTTTGCCCTCAAGGCAACAGTCCACACCAAGAACAGGGGTTTGCACACAAGGATGTCCCAGTGGTACAGGCACAGAAGCAGGGGCCTTGGACAATTTTTGATCATGAATATTGGGGCAGCCTCTAGGAAGAATGTCTTCCTAAATAGCTCAGTTCATAACAGTCAACTGGGGGCCTCACAGGCTGGATCACATTATTGCATAATGCCACAGTTTCTAGGTGATGAGTCAAAATGCAAGCATAGGGGCTTTGACCTAAGTACATGATGTGAGAGATACTGAATTGACCATATTCAAATTCAAATTCAAACACATTTTTAAAACATGTTCCTACAGGAGCAGAGAAGAAGATTTGGGAAGCATCTGATTTAACTCCCAGCTGACAGGCTAGGGTCGTGGTTGCTGGCAGCCTGGTGGAAAACACAAGGGATGAGTTTAACAGGGAGTCTAACTACTTCATAGCAGGTCAGAGATTCTAAAGACTTCCCTGCATCTTTGGAGACTAATTCAAGCACCAATGTGAGCTAGAGTCTTCTGAAGGAGTGGGGGGTAGAGTGTGAGGAGGGGGCAAGCTTTTGTACAGGCATCACATTTAGCTCCCCTTAAAAATGACTGGTTCATGAAACGTGCTTTAGAAAACCTTTGACAGATTCATCTCACTACAAAAATGAACAGAATCTCTGGAGTCTGAAGGGATTTGGACTTGAAGATACTCCCGTCATCAGGGGGTTATGTTGAGCATTCTGTCTACAGAACTGTTTCAAATCGGCAGCGGTCTGGGAAAACTTTCCACAGTTGAGACTAGCCTGCAGCCTACACTGCTGTGCCACTTTCCTCACAGTGCCTTTAACCTGGGAGAAGCCAAACATGGAAATCAAGAGAGTGAGGTGGGTGATTCTGCTTATTCTAGGCTCTTACCATGGAGGAAGAGCAGGCCTGACAGGTCCGAGGTACTGGGTGACATCTCCTGCTCCCTTTGCCTCTAACGCAAGCATGTCTTTACACAGGTGTAAAGAAAAAACTAGCTGACCACCAAAGGGTCGTGATTCTCAGTGCTGACAGATATGCAGAGAATGTGGTCATGGCAAGTCATTACAAACACCAAGCAGTGACCAGCAAGTGATTTAGAAAATACACTTAGAGAGTTCAGAAGAAATGCCAAGTCACCCAGTGTTAGTGCTGTCCAAGAAGACGCATGGAGTTGGGGGCATTGAAAGAAAGCCGTGACAGGTGTTTGGGCTGTTTTAGATAGAGGGACTATAAAAGAGTGGAGACATCGTGTCCTACTATGTGCCAGGTACTTTGGACTATTAGTTTTTGAATTCAGACCATAATCTAATAATAAGAGAATCCCTATGCTCAGCTTAAAGTTGAGGAAACAGGCCCATAAAATATTAAATAAAAGCTCAGAAGCAAGTAAGTAGCAGACATGGTTGCTACACTCATTTGTCCAACCTCTGTCTGTATATATTCCCCGATTTCATGCCTTCGCTCTCTTACTGTGAAATACTGTACGAAGCCAGGGAAAATGCAGGCCTATTGGAGATCATTGGCATTGTGGGGAAGGATCCTCTGCTGCTTGCATTTCTTTATCATGGACATACAGGAGAAGAGACTCAATAAGATCAGTGATGGAATTGAGGTTCTATGGTGCATGGCCGTCAATGCCCAACCCAGGAATTTATTCTCCATCTAAGAGACTTGTGGTCATCGAAGGGTTTCAAGGAAGGGAATCTCTGGAGTATTGTGCTGCTTGGTTAGAACATTGATCTAGCAGAGCACAGACTGTGGCTGGGGAGGTGGAGACTCCTGTGGGAGATTGTTGTGATTATTCAGGCATGGAGACCCTCAAGTATCCTTGGAGAGAGGCGATGGATAAAAGAATAGTTGTAAAGGCATACTCAAGATTACAGAGAAACCGCCAGGAGTCATCTTCTCAGACCTACAAGAGAACAGAACGAGGAGTGCTTCCAGAACTGACTTCAGGCCTTAATGGGAACAAATCATGGTGAATGTGTGGCGATTAGTACGTCTGGGCAGGACCTGATCTCTGCCTTGTGCTCAGGGGTATCTACCGTTACCCAACCACAACCTTTCGGCTTTTATTTAAACATATTTTTTCTCTAGTTATATGTTGGTCGATTGGGGAGCTTTAATATCCTATAAAATCATGATTTGTAATCCAAGAGTCAGTAACTGCTAAGCAAAAGGAGGCTATAAAACTATGTGGCCTCAAGAAATCTGCTTGTGTCCTGAAAGGCTGAATTCAGGTCTAGGCTGACTGTAGGAAGGAAAGTAAATGTTATACAGGGAATGCAGGCTAAGATAAAGCAAGCTGCTCTTTTCTTACCAAGAGAAGCACTTTGTCCTCATTCTTTCTGAGGCTATCAGTTCAGTCCATGGTCACGGCTGTCAGTAAAGCTCTGTCTGCTTAGACCTGTCCACTCTTTCTCTGTAGAGAAGACACACTCAATATCATGGAGGTGCTGATATGTCATAAAGTGCATAATATGGTTCTTCTAACCACAATCTTCTTCCCTTTTGTGATGCATTGTCAATCTTAGTTTCTACACTCACCATAATCCCATTTCAAAGGGAGTTAGTTACCTGTTACACTAATAAGACGGGTTTAAGGTGGGATAGAGTTTGAGTTCCCACCTTAATAGAGGGTGTGACTCAAACCACCCCCCTTTGCTTTCTTTGGGTGCGTGGTCTGCAGAAGGCAATAACCACACGTCCATTGAAGTCCCTCCGTGATCTCCCCATCCACAGACTAGTGACGAGTCACCAGTGGTAAGTACCCATCAGACACCAGGTGTCATCTCAAAAGACTGCTGACCCAAGCAGCGCTTTGAGATGAGTTTCAACCCCCTTTTGGTCCTGCTGCAGTAAG